ATCAAAATGTCGAAAAGACAGTCCAATTTATTATCTAAAATAAATGAACGGATGGATGGATGATGGATGGATGGATGGATTGATTGTCCTTAGCTGGACAACAGAGAATTGAAGCACCTGAAGGCAGTGGTAATTGAGACTGGCAGCCGGAGCAACAACTGAATTCAGCTGAGAAGAGTTCGGGTTGGACAGTGGTGTGTGTGTGTGTGTGTGTGGGGGGGGGGGGATGTTTGACAGAATTGGAGCAGCTCTATTCAAAGGCTTCTCTTCTTGCTCTCTAAAATAGTCATTTCAATTCAACCTTTATTTAAACAGCTTGTTAGTCTCATTGAGCCTTGAAGACTCATTTACAAGAGAGACCTGTTTCTAATCAATTTAGTCAAATGTTTACAGATGTAGGTAAACATAGACGTTTTAACAACATGTTGAAATATATCAAAATGCAGGAAATGGCATATCTTTTATTCCAAATTTTCTGGAGGGAGGATATAACAGTTTCATCCCATGAGCTATTAGACTGCTGAACTAAGGTCACTAATGAAGTGACCACAATAGAAAACGCACACACAGCCACACCAAACACCAAAGTCTATAAAATTCATGTAAATGATGCACTCCTACACTGATGTGGAGAAATGAAACGAGATTTCGTTCAATTTTGCCTGGTGTACTGTACAGTTTTGAATGACAAAAGGTTTTTTTTCTTTGTTGTAGTGGACACCTAGACCTGAAGGCTTCCTAACATGCATGCTTTTAGATTGTGGGAGAAAACTGGAAAACCCACAAGAAGAACATGCAAACTACACAAAGGGAGACCCCAGGTCCAAACCAGGGATTGAGCCCAGGGCCTTTTTGCTTTGATGCAACAGACGTCATGTTTCTCTTGCAGCTTTCCTTCAGAGATTATCAGTACGGACACTTGTTTCCCATCCACTTCACCCTCCCTTTTTCACCTTTCATTTGCTCTGCTTGTTGCTTCGGATGGAGGACCACAGGTACTTCAACACCTCTACACCTTGCAGCTTCACTATTCCACCTGTCTCCTTCTCATTCACATGTCAAGTTCAAGCTCAACAAATATCAAATCATTAAACAAGATAAAACTACTACCTTTCAGAATCCAAGATGTTCCTGATCCAAACCGAATATCGTTTAGGTACATAACTCCACAAAAGTAGGTTCCAACATCTTCCTGTGATGCTCTTGATATTCCCAAATGACTACTGTTGTTGTCAAATTTGACTGAATAACGCTGATCAAATTCAGAGGAAATCTCAACCCGTTTGTATTTGGTATTGAAGAATGCAACGAGCAGTAGTCTTCTGCCTGTACTCAGTTTGTACCACACTCTTTTATTCATTGAACTTTTTATGTAGCATTCAATGGTTGCAGATTCTCCGAGCTTTAATGTTTGTTCAGAAACAGGCTGAGAGATTTCACTGAACTCTGCCACACCTGAAATTAAAAACGGAATGTCATCAACTTTGGGAAGATTGATTAAAAATA